CGCGTTGGTACTCCTAGCGAAGCTGTGTGAAGACTATAATCATTTAGATACTGTGCAAGTCAGTGACACATTCACTTGTATCCTGTTCTCCAGTGAGCCCCGCCTAGGCATCCTCGGTCACTAATGCACGTGTCACTACTCTGACGTAGGTGTTACTATGCTCTTAGATGGGAGGATACCTTGAAGGCTCTTACTGTCAGCAGCTGGAACTTCTCTATCAATGGATAAAATGTGATTATCTCTCTTTAACCAGGCTCTGTGTTATCCTCAGTGGTCTTAACGCTTCCTCAGTAAGATATTACTACTACTACTACTACTACTACTACTACTATTACTACTACTACTACTACATCAACAACAACAATAATAACTACTACTACTACTACTACTACTACTACTAATAATAATAATAAATAATAATAATAATAATAATAAGGACATGGTAGGTCGGTACGATGTTATCTAAACTGCAAAAGACTTTTCCTTCATCTATTTCTCAAAATTCTAGTTAACTGTCAACACTTCCTGTCTGTGTAACATATCTTATCCGGTATCGAGACTCGAACAAAACTTTGCTTCTACTGACTCAGGAGAGTGCAAACAAAATCACGGAAGAGGAAGTCGAGTCTGAACCCCTGGAGAGTGAGTTCTCAAACTCACAGATCAGTTGGCCCAGTGGTTAACGCACTGGCCTGTCAACTTTAGGGCTTACTTGCCATTCAAACTCCACCCGTCCCGTGGTTTGGTTCTACTGCTTCTTCATCCAAGTGGTTCCACTCAATACTTTTATAATAAAGAAGACTTTCATAGTATCGTTGTCGCACTTCTTACTTGGTATTTGTGTCACTTGTTGTCGACTCTCATCTCTCGCCATGTCTACCCTGGATACGACAGTAATTATTTTACATAGAGGCATCGCATCTTCCCTGACAACTCACTCTTGTTGGGTTCAAAATCTAATGCTTTTAACCTTTTTATTTATGGTCCATTTCCAAAATTACAGGAGTAGTCTTGTCGTATACCGAGGGATTTTCTAGATATTTTTTTTTATACCTTGTTAGACGTGGGTTTCAAGAAGCTGATGTGTGCTATGTGATTAATCTAACGTACGTGGATGTGAGGGAAAAGTCCAACAGAAAGGAGTAGCGAGCGAGTATATGGTGACGATAGTTTGATTGGCAGTCTGCTTGTTAGGGTAGGGTCAGTGTCTAGGTCCCGCTATCCGCACATTTTTTTTCCACCCGGAAAGGTGACGTGTGGGGCTCCGGCCAAACAGTAATCACTTGACTCACAGCTCCCAGCACAACTGTAAGTAAAAGCCTCTGCTCCTGTTCTAGTGGATATATTGGTTGAAAGCTTCACTTTTGACGAATAATAAACTCAGTCCTTTCAGTCTCGAGTTCCATGTTATGCTTTTAGAAAATCACCATTTCTTTTAAATATTGTACTTATCTTGGAGAGTGATTTCTTAAGCAGTGGGTAAACTTTTAGCTTGGAATGACAGCTCGGGTCATCTGGCAACTAAAGAAACGTATTGAAGGAGACGGACTGTAAACAAGTCCTGGGACGTCACTTTTTGATCTACCTACCTGATTAATTGGAGTCAGCCGCAGGTAACTACCCCTCATCTTTGCAGTGGTGAAGAACCTGCGTTCCTATCATCTGGACAGACTATTCAAGGCTATAGACTCTGTGAAGAACTAGTCGTTGGGTTGTCACTCAACACCTGTGACCCCTCCACCCCACATCAGTAACGATACTTTTTACCCGGTCTTCTCCCCACAGGTCCATGTTTCATGGCTGTACTACTGGTAAACTTCAACAGATACTTGTTGCAAATTATTTTGCAGGTTTTCTTATCTTTCACATTCTCGTTTGTTGCGTATCACTAACAATCACTGACGTGTAGACGTCTCTTGCATCTTGTAATCAGTGGTCCGTGTGGCACAAGACTCTGTCACTCTCGCTTAATCTGAAACTTGTTACCTGACCAACACTCTGTATTCCATCTTTCAGACATTTCCCGAGGCTCTCAAGTTTTTCTTGTCACTTTAGCATGCACTTCCATATTCTGTGGTAGACTGGTGGGGCCTTCTGCCGAGGGCTTTCCTGCAGTCTAAGAAAATGCGTTGTGTCTACTTTCCGTTGTACTGTTATCCCTTATCCCTAGTTGATTTTCTGTGACAATTTCTCCTCAAACATTTCCTGATTATTTTCTGTAATTTGACAGTATTTGTTAAAGATGCCTGTGATTTACTGCCCCTCGTTTGTCTTCTTTTTCGCAAATTCTTTCTCGTGTCTTGTAAATTTTTGCAGCTCTTCTGTCAGCATCCATGAAGATAGTTTGTTGGGTCTCGTAGCTTTTGTCATGTCCAGTACACACACACACACACACACACACACACACACACAACAACACACATATACATACACACACACACACATACATACACACACACATACATACACACACACACACATACATAACACACACACATACATACACACACACACATACACACACACACACACACACACACACACACACACACACACACACACACACACACACACACACATACACACACACACACACACACACAAACACACACACACACACACACACACACACACACACATACACAGTATGAAAATTACATAGCATCGAGAATCAAGACTGACCCGAAACTGTTGTATAGCCACATCAGGAGGAAGACAACTGTCAAAGACCAGGTGATCAGATTAAGGACAGAAGGTGGAGAACTCACAAGAAATGATCAGGACGTATGTGAGGAGCTGAACAGGAGATTTAAGGAAGTTTTTACAGTAGAAACAGGAAGGGCTGTGGGAAGACAGCACAGAAGGGAACATCAAGAGGGAATATACCAACAAGTGTTGGATGACATACGAACAACTGAGGAGATGAAGAAGCTCTTAAGTGACCTTGACACCTCAAAGGCAATGGGACCGGACAATATCTCCCCATGGGTCCTTAGAGAAGGAGCAGAGATGTTGTGCGTGCCTCTAACCACAATCTTCAACACATCCCTTGAAACTGGGCAACTACCTGAGAAATGGAAGACAGCTAATGTAGTCCCCATATTTAAGAAAGGAAACAGAAACGAGGCACTAAACTACAGACCTGTGTCTCTGACATGTATTGTGTGCAAAGTCATGGAGAAGATTATCAGGAGGAGAGTGGTCGAACACCTGGAAAGGAACAAGATTATATATGAAAACCAGCATGGGTTCTTGGAAGGCAAATCCTGTATCACAAACCTCCTGGAGTTTTATGACAAGGTAACAGAAGTAAGACACGAGAGAGAGGGGTGGGTAGATTGCGTTTTCCTAGACTGCAGGAAGGCCTTTGACACAGTTCCCCACAAGAGATTAGTGCAGAAGCTGGAGGATCAGGCGCATGTAAAAGGGAGGGCACTGCAATGGATAAGGGAATACCTGACAGGGAGGCAGCAACAAGTCATGGTACGTGAAGAGGTATCACAGTGGGCGCCTGTTACGAGCGGGGTCCCACAGGGGTCAGTTCTAGGACCAGTGCTTTTTTTGATATATGTGAACGACATGATGGAAGGAATAGACTCTGAAGTGTCCCTGTTCGCAGATGACGTGAAGTTGATGAGAAGAATTAAATCGGACGAGGATGAGGCAGGACTGCAAAGAGACCTGGACAGGCTGGACATGTGATCCAGTAACTGGCTTCTCGAATTCAATCCAGCCAAATGCAAAGTCATGAAGATTGGGGAGGGGCAAAGAAGACTGCAGACAGAGTATAGGCTAGGTGGACAAAGACTACAGACCTCACTCAGGGAGAAAGACCTTGGGGTGACCATAACACCGAGCACATCACCGGAGGCACACATCAACCAATAACTGCTGCAGCATACGGGCGCCTGGGAAACCTGAGAATAGCGTTCCGATACCTTAATAAGGAATCGTTCAAGACACTGTACAATGTGTATGTTAGGCCCATACTGGAGTATGCAGCACCAGTCTGGAACCCACACCTGGTCAAGCACCTCAAGAAGTTAGAGAAAGTACAAAGGTTTGCAACAAGGCTAGTCCCAGAGCTCAAGGGAATGTCGTACGAGGAAAGGTTAAGGGAAATCGGACTGACGACACTGGAGGACAGAAGGATCAGGGGAGACATGATAACGACATACAAGATACTGCGGGGAATAGACAAGGTGGACAGAGATAGGATGTTCCAGAGAGGGGACACAGGGACAAGGGGTCACAACTGGAAGCTGAAGACTCAGACGAGTCACAGGGACGTTAGGAAGTATTTCTTCAGTCATAGAGTTGTCAGCAAGTGGAATAGCCTAGCAAGTGAAGTAGTGGAGGCAGGAACCATACATAGTTTTAAGAAGAGGTATGACAAAGCTCAGGAAGCAGAGAGAGAGAGGACCCAGTAGCGATCAGTGAAGAGGCGGGGCCAGGAGCTGAGTCTCGACCCCTGCAACCACAATTAGGTGAGTACAATTAGGTGAGTACACACACACACACACACACACATACACTCGACCCCCGCAACCTCAACTAGGTGAGTACATACACACATACACACACACACACACACACACACACACACACACACACACACACACACACACACACACACACACACACACACACACACACACACACATACACACACACACACACACACACACACACACACACACACACACACACACACACACACACACACACACACACACACACACACACACACACACACACACACACACACACAGGAAATGGGTTGACATTCAGTTCTCGCCTTTTAAAACAGATAAGGGAAAAATAATTCGTTTTCTTATAAGTGAGGTTTTGTCGGTAGGTCATCCGGTGTGGCGTCTTGCTCACCACAGCTGCGATACACTGCCTACCGGCGAATAAAAAACAAAAAACAAAAAAACAAAAACTGCTTACCCTCACAGTGTTGACGATTTTCTATTCTCCTTCCCACCTTCAAACCAACACTAGCGTGTTTAAGTCTTGACGTTTCGTGTGGGAGAGTGCTAATCAAGTCTTGACGTTTCGTGTGTGTAGAATGTTGCTTCAGTCTTAACTTTTAGTGTGGTAGAGTACTGCCATTTATGCCATCGTGGGGCGTCACCCACGCCACGTGTGGTGCCACTTCCGTCAGTGTGGAGAGGCAGAAGTGGCATTCGGTCGAGAATAGGAAAGGAGTGTCTTTCTACGACTGGCACTCCCAGTAGTGTCATACTTGAGTCGAGTTTGGGACGGGGATAATATTGATGCTAAAACTGTATGACATTACCAACGTACTTACCAGTGCTAGGGCCAGTACTAGGACGAGAGTCAAGACTGGTGTGAGAAGGAGTGCCAGAACTAGTGCCAGCGACAAGGAATCACCAGAACCAGTGACAAAGAGAGCAATGAAAGCGACCATCAGCCTGGTGGTTGTGGTGGTGATGGTGGTAGCAGCATCGACCATTAAAGTGTGCAAAGAGGGTGAGTGATGGTGTTTATGGTGTATATTTTCTCTCATATATTCTCGCTGTGATTATCAATAAATGATCATTTCTCTTCGTAAATATTTCTCTGTAGTAGTTTCCCATTTGTGATTATCTTATTACATTACCCTTTTATTGCTCAGCAGCTATAATTGCCTATTCTTAATTGCCTTTTTGTGATTACTTACGTGGGATTACCTATTTGTGAATGCATTCTGAGTAAATTCCTGTTCGTGACCACCTGTTTACAGTCACTGAAGGAGAGATGTGCTTGCGGTGTTCCCTCTGCACTGTTTATTTTGTTATGTATATTTTCAAGTTTCCACTGCTTGTGGAATATACTCCTTCCTCCTCCAAGAGTACATGTGAGGGATATATGAAGGTGAGAACGAGTGTACACAAGAACAGGTGTGTTGTACACAAGAACAAATGTGGAGGTGTACACAAGAACAGGTGTGGATGTGTTCACAAGAACAAGTGTGGAGGTGTACACAAGAACAGGTGTGGATGTGTTCACAAGAACAAGTGTGGAGGTGTACATAAGAACAGGTGTGGAGGTGTACACAAGAAGAAATGTGGAGGTGTACACAAGAACAGGTGTGGAGGTGTTCACAAGAACAAGTGTGGAGGTGTTCACAAAAACAGGTGTGAGGGTGTACACAAGAACAGGTGTGGAGGTGTACACAAGAACAGGTTGAGGTGGTACACCCAAAAACAAGGTGTGGAAGTTGTACACAAGAACAGGGGTGGAGGTGTACACAAAACAGGTTGGAGGTGTACACAAGAACAAGTGTGGAAGGTTTCACAAGAACAGGTGTGGAGGTGTACACAAGAACAAGTGTGGAAGTGTACACAAGAACAAGTGTGGAAGTGTACACAAGAACAGGTGTGGAGGTGTACACAAGAACAAGTGTGGAAGTGTACACAAGAACAAGTGTGGAGGTGTACACAAGAACAGGTGTGGAGGTGTAAAACAAGAACAGGTGTGCAGTGTTACACAAGAAACAAGTGTGGAGGTGTTCAAAGAGCAAAATGTGGAGGTGTACACAAGAACAGGTGTGAAGGTGTACACAAGAACAGGTGTGGAGGTATTCACAAGAGCAAGTGTGGAGGTGTTCACAAGAACAGGTGTGGAGGTGTACACAAGAACAGGTGTGGAGGTGTTCACAAGAACAGGTGTGGAGGTGTTCACAAGAGCAAGTGTGGGGTGTTCACCAGAACAGTTGTGGAGGTACACAAACAAGTGTGGAGGTGTTCACAAGACAAGTGTGGAGGTGTTCACAAAACAGGTGTGGAGGGTACAAAAGAACAGGTGTGGAGGTGTTCACAAGAGCAAGTGTGGAGGTGTTCACAAGAACAGGTGTGGAGGTGTACACAAGAACAGGTGTGGAGGTGTTCACAAGAGCAAGTGTGGAGGTGTTCACAAGAACAGGTTGGGGGGGTGAAAACAAGAAAGGTGTGGAGGTGTCCAAAAAGAAAGGTGTGGAGGGTTCAAAGAGCAAGTGGGAGGTGTTCACAAGAACAGGTGTGGAGGTGTACACAAGAACAGGTGTGGAGGTGTTCACAAGAGCAAGTGTTGAGGTGTTCACAAGAACAGGTGTGGAGGTGTACACAAGAACAGGTGTGGAGGTGTACACAAGAACAGGTGTGGAGGTGTTCACAAGAACAGGTGGGAGGGTTTCACAAGAACGGTGTGGAGGCTTTTCCAAGAGCAGTGTGGAGGTGTTCACAAAAACAGGTGTGGGGTGTACAAAAGACAGTGTGAAGGGTCACAGAACAGGTGTGGGGTTTTCACAAGAGCAAGTGTGGATTTGTTCACAAGAACAGGTGTGGAGGTGTACACAAGAACAGGTGTGGAGGTGTACACAAGAGCAAGTGTGGAGGTGTTCACAAGAACAGGTGTGGAGGTATTCACAAGAGCAAGTGTGGAGGTGTTCACAAGAACAGGTGTGGAGGTGTTCACAAGAACAGGTGTGGAGGTGTTCACAAGAAAGGTGTGGAGGTTTTTCACAAGCACGGGTGGGGAGGTTTAAAAGAGAAAGTGTGGAGGTGTTCACAAGAACGGTTGGAGGTGTTCCAAAAGAGCAAGTGTGGGGTGTTCAAAAGAGAAAGTGTGGAGGTGTTCAAAAACAGGTGTGGAGGTGTACAAAACAGGTGTGGAGGTGTACACAAGAACACGGTGGAGGTTACACAAAAAACAGGTGGGAGGTGTACAAAAGAACAGGTGTGGAGGTGTACACAAGAAAACAGGTGGGGAGGTGTAACAAAAAACAGGTGTGGGGTGTCAAAGAACAGTTGGGGTGTACACAAAACAGGTTGGGGTGTACAAAAAAACACGTGTGGAGGGACACAAGAACACGTGTGGAGGTGTATACAGGAAAAAGAGCATCAAAGTCAATATTAAGACAATATTAAAACAATATTAAAGAAAAATTTTCAAAAAAAAATTTTTTGAATAGCAATCAACTGTCAACAAAAAAAAGGGAGACAACAGAAGCAGCGAGTGACTCGCTCACTTAGGTTTTTATACAAAACGTGGAAACTAAGAAAAAGAAAAATGAGCTAAGATTATTTGCAAGTGAGGTAATATAGATATTATTGGTAAAAAGAGACCTGGTCAAACCCGAAAAATAAAAAAAATGCCTTTTGAATGCAACATACAGGGTTATAAACATTCCACACTGGGAAAAGGGTAAAAAGGAAGGGTGGGGAGTGGGGGGGTAGTCGAGATAATTTAAATTGTTGTCTTTGACTGATATAAAATTAGAAACTGAACACAGAATCTGTTTGGCTACGTTTCTCGAGGGTTGTGAAAATTAATTGTGGGTGTGTTTTTAGGCCCCCAAACCTTGATAGGGAGTGCAGTCAGCGTTATGGGGGAAATTCAAAGGCATTAGAAAGAAAAATGTTGTGTAATGGGAGATTTTAACTTTAGACAAATTAATTGGGAAAAATTGAAGGAAAATTTGAGTTAGTGGCTTTCTTGTACGGTTCAGGATTTCTTTTTTGAAACAATTTGTGACAGAACCAACTGAGGAAACAATCTGTTGACTTGGTTCTTGCCAACAAAGATTCACTAATTAATAATTTGAGGTTAATGATGAGCTTGGGGAAAATGATCACAAATCACTTAGTTTCAATACATCATGGACTTACCCAGATAAATGCAATCAAATCAGATTTTCGCATGGCCGACTTCATGGGACTGAAAAATTACCTGGGTGGGCTAAATTGGGATGTCCTGACTATGGGTCAGGTAGGTGATCTTGGTTGCCAATATGACGTTTTTCAAAGCATAGTTCTAGTTGCCCAGACAACTTTTGTTCCAAGTAGGGAAATTAGATGTAACAAAAATGATCCCAAATGGATGAACAATAGATTAAAGCATCTCATTGGTCAAAAGGGAGACATATATAGGCGTATAAAAAGAGGGGATGGGCAGTTAAGAAATCAATATATTCAATTAAGGAAAGAAATAAAAAAAGGAATAAGAAAAGCAAAAAGTGATTATGAGGCTAAGGTCGCAAGGGATTCAAAGACTAACCCAAAAGGATTCTTTCAGGTATACAGAAGTAAGATTAGGGACAAGATTGCCCCACTTAAGAGTAACTCTGGTCAGATCACTGACAGTGATAAGGATATGTGTGAAATTCTCAATACCTACTTTCTCTCGGTTTACACCCAGGAAAATACTAGCGATATTCCTGAAATAATAGATTATGTAGAACAGGACCATAATAAACTATGCACAATTGCGGTAACTAGTGAGATGGTCCTCAGACAAATAGAGAAACTAAAACCTAACAAATCTCCAGGCCCTGATGAACTGTTTGCAAGGGTGTTAAAGGAATGTAAAGAGGAACTTAGCATGCCTTTGGCTAATCTTTTTAACATATCACTACAAATTGGCATAGTGCCAGATATGTGGAAAATGGCAAATGTAATACCTATTTACAAGGCAGGTGACAGGTCCTTGGCTTCAAACTATAGACCAATAAGCTTTACCTCCATAGTGGGAAAATTAATGGAATCAATAATTGCAGAAGCAATTCGTAGCCATCTTGACAGACACAGATTGATTAATGAACCTCAACACGGTTTTACAAAAGGGCGTTCCTGTCTTACGAATTTACTAACATTTTTCATTAAGGTGTTTGAGGAGGTACATCATGGTAATTAATATGATATTGTGTATATGGACTTCAGTAACGCTTTCGATAGAGTTCCACATCAGAGATTATTGAGGAAACTTAAGGCACACGGAATAGGAGGAGAAATTTTTCCTGGATAGAGGCATGGCTGACAAATAGGCAGCAGAGAGTTTGCATAAATGGGGAGAAATCAGAATGGGGGCACGTCACAAGCGGTGTTCCTCAGGGGTCAGTGTTGAGCCCGTTGTTGTTCACAATTTACATAAACGACATAGATGAGGGAATAAATAGCGACATAAGCAAATTTGCTGATGACACCAAAACAGACCGTCCAATTCATTCTAATGAGGACACTAGAGCACTCCAAGATGATTTGAATAGACTGATGCAATGGTCGGAGAAGTGGCAGATGCAGTTTAATATAGACAAATGCAAAGTTCTAAATGTTGGACAGGAAAATAACCATGCGACATATAAACTAAATAATGTAGATCTTAATACTACTGATTGCGAAAAGGATTTAGGAGTTCTGGTTAGCAGTAATCTAAAACCAAGACAACAGTGCATTAGTGTTCGCAATAAAGCTAACAGAATTCTTGGCTTCATATCTAGAAGTATAAATAACAGAAGTCCTCAGGTTGTTCTTCAACTCTATATATCCTTGGTTAGGTCTCATTTAGACTATGCTGCTCAGTTCTGGTCACCGTATTACAGAATGGATATAAATGCTCTGGAAAACGTACAGAGGAGGATGACAAAGATGATCCCATATATCAGAAATCTTCCCTATGAGGATAGACTGAGGGCCCTGAATCTGCACTCTCTCGAAAGGCGCAGAATTAGGGGA